GAATGAACCAAAAAGCTATGCCATATGGTTTTGCAGTCTGGCTTAAACAGGTAGGGGCATCTTCAAGTTATGCAAAGGCTATCGATGATACCCCTGAACATTTGAAAGCTGATGTGGTCTGAGACAAGCTGTGAGGCTCCAGTTTTCCTTTCAAATCAAATGTTCCAGGCCTGGGAATCGACCCCAAGCCCAACCCTTCTTAGTCGCTCGTCTATACCACAAGACTACGGCCGCATGACTGCCAAAACGGACTCCATGATCATCACTCGCAGGATATTCTTAAAGCATCCAATGTTATTTTAAAACGATGATCTCTAGGTGATTTATTAGGAGAACACAGTACCTTCTAGAACTAGCTCGCATGATAGCTCTAAGTTCCATCCAACAAACTAGGCACGGAAAGATTTCTTCAAGTTCATGAGATTCGAGTGTTTGGAATGTTGTGAGATTCTGATCCTACTAAAATCATGATAATCGATCAGATTTGTGTAAACAAATCTGATGGTTTTTGTTTACAAAGAATGCAAAGGTGTTACAGGATTGGATCGGATGGAGTTTGAGACCGGATCACCTTTGATACTCAGAAACGGGTAAGCTGAATGAAAGTGAAATTTCTTTTGACGTTGAGATCATGACTTATTGGTTTTCTTCTTTGATCTAAGATGAAGGTGAGAACTCATGCATCATCACAAGATCATAACCGCATATGATGTAAGACAATTGATTTCCTAAACGATGTAACTACATGATTTGTTGAAATTCAGGTTGATTCAAGCTTGTTCGATATGAAAACTTCCCAAACATACATGTTAAGAACCACAGATTAAATAAATTCTTTGCGTTTATGTTTATGTAATTAAATTGTGGAGGTAATAGTTGAACCAAAGTTTCTTCACTTCAGGATGCCTATACCAAGATACTCCATTCCTTTTCTTTTGTCTAATTTTTTAGTCAGCCATCCATTTCGGAGGTCTACCATTTCTTCTAAAAAAAAATTGTATACCAGAGAGTGCATACCACGGCACATAGAGGCAAACCCGCCATACCAAATGTTAGTCAGCTCTCCAGCAGAAGCATTGAAGAACCAACGGGACCCTTCTTGTATATCGGGGAAAAGCTTCGGATCTGTAAATCGCTTGCAGAATTCGTCTGTCTCTGCATGCGAACGATGGTGGAATGGATCTACCGGTATGACTGTTCCAAGGAAAGCTGCTCGATCGGTGTCTCCGGCATAGATATGTTCGGTTAACCTACAAGCATTATCGTAAAAGACAACCTCAGGCATTCCACGAGGGAAAGTCTCTTCAAGAAATGCCTGTTGGTAGGGCCAGGTAAAGCAACACAAAAGGCGCGATCAGAACAGAACTCACACCTGAAGGTACCACACTCACCTTTACCGCACTAACAGACTCTGCGTTGTAAAATGTTTTCCTTCCCAATACAATCCCACAAGTCCCAACCACAAGCTGGTCGTTGTGCGTCCGCATTCTTGATAACAAGTATTTGCCAGAGGACTTTGACTCGCCTCCATCCCTTGCAGCTTCGTGTGCTCTTTGCGATTCGTCAGCATGTTGTAGGCCCGCCAGGTCTTGAAATTCAGCGGTATTGGCATCTAGATGGACGGTTGGATCAGCGCGAAGGGAGGATCCCGGTCGATTGAGGATCGAGGTTAGAGAAAAGTTGGATTTTATTTTTTCGTTGAACTGGGCCCAGGCATTGATGTGGTCATGGTCATCACAGGTACCAGTATTGCCAATCGCGGATTTGGGACAAGGTTGCGCTCGACATTTTCCTCCAAGTATAACAAAGTGCTCCGGACAAAAACGATCGTTGATATTGTCGAGATCATTGGTGCAT